TGAATTTAATCCTTTATGTAGTTACTAAGTAACTATTTAATTCATACACCGACGTTCTTTGTTTTTTCATAAAGAGAATGTCAAGTTGGATACTATTCACTGAGTAATGTTAGCTGAAAACTCATTTAGAATTTTAGAATTCTGAACCTTGATGAATATACTTTTGAAAACGTTATTTGGCCTTCCACTTTTCCGTTTCTATCCAAGATTCCATGCTAACGCCCACCTCGTAGTGCAGTTCGACGATTTCCTCAATGTATGTCCTATCCAGTTCCAGAGTCTTTTCCAAATTTCCCCTTCAACTGCCAGCTGGTTTGTTCTCTTCCACAGTAAAATGTTGCTGATAGTATTTAGTTAACGGATATTGAGTATCTGGTGTAGACAATTGTTTATGAATACCTCCACATTTCTGATGACGTGTGTAGTAGTTTTTGATGTTCAAGTTCCATACAGCGGAATTGTCTTGACATTCACATTCAAGATTCTCAATTTGAAAATGTTTGATAGTTGTTTAGAGTTTCATATGTTCTTCAAATGTAGGAATCTTTCCCGTACTTTGCACATTCTTGCCTTTACATCTGCATCAAATCCTCTTTGTTCATCAATAATGCTGAAAAGTCGAGTACATAAGAGTTTCCACCTGTTCCAGAGCTTCCCCATCAAGTGTAACTGGGTTGTTGTTCTCCGTGTTGTGTTTGAGTATCTTGGTTTTCACCTTGTGCATGTTGAGGCTTACTGATGAAGAAGCTGCTGCTACACTGTTTTTGTTCACCTGCACTTAATGATGTGTATGGGATAGAAGGAACAGGTCATCTGCATAGTTTAAGTCATCCACTTGTGTAAAAACTGTACACCCTATCCAATGATTCCACCGAGATATGGAGGTCTTCATAATCCAGTCGACCATCAGGAGAAAAAGAAATGTAGGGAGTGAAAGTCACGTCCTTGGTCTGTCTACCTACTTTTGGTACTGAGGATACTTTTCTAATCAAGATCTAAGACCTTGGCGCAATAGGCTGACAGACCTAACCTTGAGGCTAGTAAGCGTGAGTTCAAAGTGAGGTGGAGAGAAGAAATGTATTCTATCACTTGATTGGCTGACAAGCACGCTAACAAGAGAAGACAAAACAACTGGAACACTACTCGATCTATTCCCGATATCCTAATTTCATGATTTCGGATTAGTGTAAGAAGGTACATAAATAAATAGGTGACTAACCCGACCACAACGTACAATAATAAGGAAAAATACAATTATGTCCAAAGCCGGGAATTTGAGTAGAAAATAGAGCACAAAATATTATGTTTAAACAACAATAGCTTCGAAACAGAAAAGGGTATGGCAATGAATCGTACGTCGAACAAAAGCTTATGTTCTGTAGAATAGATTAGGAACAAAGATAAATGTTAATGTTTTACAAGCTTTGAATTAAACGAAGTAACGTATCAAAAATAGCTTTTTCCCCTTTTCAAATCAGTAAGCAACCACGTCTAACACTAGTACTCACTTGGAATACAACACTTGTTTCTCCTCCCAGAGCTTACCGAACAGAACGTGGTGCATGTTTGCAGTCAATTGGATGTCTCACTTCACTGTTTCAGCTAGTATATTTTCAGGTCCTTCCGCTTTCCCACTCCTGACTTGTTTGGGTGTCACGCTGGTGGAGTGATAGCCATAGGAAGGTCGGTGTATGTTGTTTCGATGTCCGTTAGGTTCAGAGTAGCTGGTATGTTTAAGAGTTCTTCAAAGTTCGACTGCTGCTAATTGCCGACTTCTTGGATCCTATCCGAAGTTTCCATAGAGATCCATTCCTTATGATTACGCTCCTAGAGGCCCAGAACCAAACCTCTTGACACGTTGAAGGTAGTACTTCTTTGATGCATTTCCAATTGTCCTCTATAGTAGTTTCTTCCTTCAGTAGATCCCGTAAGGCTCGAAACATGTTTTGAGAGTTATTTTGAGTCGGTTAAGTCTGTTAGTATCTCGTAGGAAGACTGTATTGGACCTTTGTAATGCTATTTCCACAACTGTCTAGTGTTTCTTTAGCTTCAGTTTCATATTGGCCTAAACCAGATGGGGATCTGAAGCTATGTCAGCTCCTCTCTTTGTTCTCACGTGTTCCATTGACCTTCTAAATATTCTAACGATGTACATATTATCTACCTGACTCTCTATAGCGTTGAAGATGCTGCAGGTATTCAGAGTTTGACAACGCTTTAACCAGTAACACCTTCTATATGACCTCCGGGGAATCTTGGCTTTCTTCATGAAGCGTCGTATTTTTTGTGAATAAAAATCCTTCAACACGGAGGGCAGAGTTTAAATGGTTTAATTTGTTTGTTCTAGTTAGCCTTTTTGGCAAGGGCATTTTCTACAGGATTGGAATGCTGACCCCATGGTCAATTTTACTCCTTTAACCAAACTTAGTAAGCATTACCAAACAAAATATATATTCTGTGAATTCTTAGTTAGCATATCAATTTGACCAATCCTAATATTTACAGGGCAGTTAGAAGTTAGTATGTTTTTTTAGACATCACTTAGCTTGCAACAAATTTTTCACACCCATGTTTCGACTACATATTTACCACCCTAACAAATGGGGTAGCTGTCATGTGACGTTGGCATGAATATAATAAATTACCTCTGAGAGTTTGTTGCAGAATAACACGGTTTAAACCTTCATGTTCTCATACATAGTGCTGATCCAAAAGAAATGTTCGCTTATCTAGCACGAAATGCTCGTTAGCCTCTCAATCGCTCATTAAACTACATAAGTCGATCTGTCTATCCTGTCGTAAACACGTAAAGTTTAGGGGGTTTGGAAAACGTTGAAAGCGGTACGGTTGCAACCCATAATATTAATCAAAAACAAAAGAGGCTTGTAAACAAAACTACTCTGTTCAAAATGTATCGTGATTTAGAAATAAAGGTTTAAACGAATTCATCAAAATGGGTACATCAATAAAACGTATGACGAAGAATCTAAAGACACTTAACTACTCCGATTCCTAGAATATTCTACCAGTAATACTGAAAAACATTATTGTTATACCTAACTAAATTTAATGGGTCGCACATAAGTCTACAAAAGTAGAAAACTCATGTTAAGACTTAGACAAAGATGATAATCAATATCGAGTAGCTCTCGTGAGTAGTGCTGAGAGATTTTTCACACATGGCTTGATAGTTAACGAAACTTTAAGGACATTTAGCCTATTCTACTTGCATATAAACGGAAGACAATTGTTTAGCCCCGAGACCAACTTGGGATTTCATAGCATTTGAAAAAGTGTATTGATAAGTTTGCTTCCAGTAGTTACTGAGAATTTAATCAACTATTTCATCCACTCACTTCCATATATATCTAATAACTCGAAAAAATGTTAAGACGCTTGCTCTGTTTACTTTGCTGAATTGTTTTTTGTCTTCATTTCTGTTTTATTGTGATTTAGGGAAGTATGGATTGAATTGTATCGTGATTTCTTAAGTGTGTGGTCAAAGCAAAGCAAATGTTTTCGACTAGTGTGAAAATAAGTGATCAGGGAACTAAAAATGTGACAAAATTGGAAACTTTACTTAGACATTAAATTACATGAAAGCACTCTTGAGAGTTCGAAAACGTCCATTTACTCGTAACATGACAACCAATATCTAGTGTTCAATATCTCTATCACAAGCTCGTATCCAATATGTCGTGAGCTTATATGTAGCAGTTGATATCTTTGCACTCACTCATGGTTTTTTCGGTACTGTTTTAGACTTCTGGAAATGTCAAATGTGTGCGTAGTCTAGCCACACGACGGCATTACTCCGAATGAATTTGGTTGTAATTTGTGGATTCGTATAAATTGGATACAAAGGCAATGCGTTCAGTTGAACCTGCTTCCACACGACCACAACCCACCGATGTTTTCGTTCAACCTGACTTACGATATAGTACACACGTCTTCGTGCGTCGAGACTCGCATCGACGACCTTTCGAAGCAGCATTCGAAGGACCTTTCAACGTTCTACAACGCGAACCTAAGTACTATATAATCGATAAGAACGAAACCAACGATAGCATCAGCATCGATCGCCTCAAAGCAACGTATTTAGAAGGAAATCCTATCTACGCCGATTTTCCTTCGGTACAATCGAACAACACGACTACGACACTTATAATACCTCATCCGATGACCAACACGCACGATGATACTTCGACAGTATCTGAAAATAAACTTAGAACAACGCGTTCTGGAAGAAGAGTAAAATTTCCAGAACATTTAAACGACTATTGCACGTACCATTTTACTCCATCCCCATTTTACATTGGCATTATATATATATACGCTCGGTCATGCATCCGAACCAGATCACGAGTGGAAATGCCGTGCTCAACATCTACTGCAATTTCTAGCCAAATTAGATCAGACGACTCTCGATATACTGATAGCATATCAAATGTATCTTCGAACCTCCTCGCTTCTGTTTTTTTATTTCGCTTAGTGGGTACGCTTCATATAGAAGGTATTACTGGTTAAGGCGTTGTCAAAATCTGAATACCTGTGGCATCTTCACGATGAAGTGGATCGGAGAATTCTGGTCGGTCATCTATGCTCCATTGGCAGAAACAGGCATAAGTAAGTAAGTAGGTAGTTAAGTATATGTCATATTATCGCTTTACCATTTCACTTTGCTATTATCTACATGCAACCACTCATTTACATGTAGTACAAATATCTGCAGATCAAAAACAAGAAACAAAACAAAAAGAAAAACAAAATAGAGAAAAATAAAATTATTCATCCATATATCTATAATAATAATTCACTAAGACGTGCATCTGAATTTAGCTTCTTCTCTCAATATTTCTATTTTTCTGTTGCTTTCACAATTTATACCAATTGAATAATGATTGTAATGTGTCAACTATTTTCAATGTTACATCATGACAATAAACTAGATAGTCTTGTTCATGTTGTTGAGTTGAATTGATTTCGTTTAATTGATAGCATTATTGTTGTTTAATTAAATTCCCTTGTTCTTTTTCATAATTCAATTGTATTATATTCACTTTATTAATTAAAGTTTGTTTAAAATCATTTAAACATTCATTTCGTACTAATAAAGCATGATCCTTGGTTAATTTATTATTTATCATTTCATATTGTATTAAATAAGGTTGTAAATAATCAATTTCTATATCTGGATTATAATTTTGTTGATTTTTGGCTAATTTTTCTAATTCATTGCGTAATTCATGTATTTCTATATTATGTAATGTATCAAATGGATCAATATCTAAAGTAACATGTAAATCTTCAATTGTACGTTCATTTAATATAGAATGTATTTCATAGATAGATTTATATATAAATTCCTTAGATTTTTCTTCTTCATCTAATAATGTAATAAGCATATTATAAATTTCAATTTGTGTTTTAGGCTTATTGAATAAGTTGACCTGTAAATGAAAAAGAAAGAATTAAATAATTCATAAGTATTATATCAGTTTATTCGACTAGACTAGGCTATGTTCTTCTGTATAGCGTACCAAGCGTTTTTGAGATACTCGTATTAAATTATATCAGAACACAAACTGTGTGCTCAATTTAAACGGTTCTAATTTAGGAAATAAAACAAATTATATCAAAAATACAAAATGGCTCAAACGGTAAAGCCTGGGCTACACAGTCAGAAGTTTCTTTAACGCAAAGTAGCATGCTAAACAACAAAAGAAACAGTTAATACAAAAGAGTTTGATACCTGAGAATCAATAAAAATATTCCTAGCAAGGTGGGATCATATATCTATCTGCAGGGATTCCAGCAATCTTCCCAAGCAGACAGTCTAAGGTTAAGAGTCACACACTGATCCACGCCTTGACCTTGAGCTTAGTCAAACACGACCCTACTGTCAGTAGTCCAGCAACATGCAATAGTAAGTCAGGTAACAAAAGGTAAGTTTTTAATCAAGATCACATAATTAAAGCTCAGACGAGAAGGACTGAAGAACATAAAGTTTGGTCAGAAGAGATCTGAACAAAGGTTAAAATACACGACAGAAAGAAGGAACAAGTAAATAACAGTACTATCCACCAAAATTATGTGGAGAGATTTTTAGCGTTCTCCTTCCGTTACACCGGCCCCCAAAATCCCTCTAGCTACGCAAAGACACCTTAGGATACATTCTCGTCATGGCTCTCCTTACTAACTCCTCTACATCAATGAAGTACAGGACTTACAACAGTACGCCTGTACATCCATAAACCTAACCTGCAGTCTGCTGCTATTCGGCCTCCTCCACAAATCAAAACATTCGCATTTTCCCCATATGGTCCCCTTCTCACTAAGGCTAGTAACTTACTATAAAGCAAAACGTTGTCCGGGTGTTTGCACCTGAGTATGTTCCATTAATAGACAAAGGAACTGCAACCTGTGTCAGTCAGGATCTTCAGCATTAAGTCGGTAAGATCTCTACCAGCAAGGTTCAGAGGCAAAATAGCATGGTACAGCGCATAACCTTCATAAATCGGAACTGTGTGGGTCACACCCTCACCTGAGTCCAACACTATACCAGCTGTACGACCAAATGCATACAGTGACAACACCGATTGAATAGCATCATCATAGCTGGAGTATTAAAAATCCCAAATATGATCTGTGCTTTCGGGTTCGATGAAGCTTCTGTCAGCAACACTAGGTATTCCTCTGTTGACAATCGCAACTCGTTGTAGAATGTACGGTACCATAATTTATTCGTTCTATTAACTTAACTGTGATGAGACAATAATTTATGGATGACCTTTTAGAGACGCTTAACTGACCTTAAGAGTGTACACCTAGTAACTTGGACAAAATGAGGAACATAAACCCGTGTGTAGAATTGAAATTATGAATTTATTTACTATTTATTGATAATAATTATTATTATTGTCAACGCGTTCGACTACTTCACTCCCTATCCTTAGTTCAGGTGTCGACGCAGACCAGTCCTGAAGCATCAACTTGCATTTAGAGGGAAAGAAGTGCATCCCAAACATTCTGGCATCGTTACTCAGTGCTTCCAGAGGGCTCTGTATTTTATCAGCGTCTTCATCAAACAGGACTATGTCGTCTGAGTATTCTAAATCGATAAGTGGACCTCCTGGAAGGAGATCAATGCCTAAGAATTCAGTCGATGAGAACATTATTTGCATCAGTAGGTCTATGATGAAGTTAAACAAAAATGGAGAAAGTGGACAGCCTTGACGGATACCACTTCATGTTGCAAAAGCAGATGACAGTTCGCCATAAGCTCTGACTCGACTGGTAGTGTTTGAGTAAGGAGCTTTCACAAGGTTTATGTACTTCTGAGGTATGCCTTTCAGTGGCAGACACTGCCACAGGACCGCTTGGTCTATAGAGTCAAGTGCTGCTTCTAAGTCAAGAAAGACCACCGTTGTCGGACGCTGATAAGTATCCCTATATTCGAGAACCCGACGAATGGTGAATATGTGGTCGATGCAGCCATGACCAGGTCTGAAGCCAGCTTGATTCTCTCGTGTTCGCAGTTCACGAGTCTTAGTGAGGCGACCGATAATTATTGACGCTAGTATTTTAGATGCTATTTTAGTCAAACTGATCCCTCTATATATGTCACGGGATGATTTTGATCCTCTCTTATATATTGGGACGATCAGTGATCGTGATCAATCAAATGGGATAACATCCAACTCTCAGATTTTACCTTAAACATTGGTCAACCTAATCGCTAAAATTGGACCACCATCTTTAAAGTCCTCTGGAGCCAATCCATCTAGACTAGCAGCCTTTCATCGTTTCAGATTATCTATAGCATTTTGAACTTCAACTAGAGTCGGGAGATCTACTTCAATGTTCCACCCAAAGTACTCAAGCTTAAGACTTTGTCCCGCCTTTGCTTCAACTGATGCCTTTCTGGCCCGACAATATCGAAGCCTGGTTCTGCTACGCAGAAGCCGACTTCCACGAGCACGGCGTGATCGACACACGTGCACAATTCCTCGCAGTAGTCAAGGCACGAATTAAATTAGGTGTTGCTGGTAAAAGCGTTGTCAATAACTGAATATCTGTATCATCCTCAACTCCGAATGAATTTGGTTGTAATTTGTGGATTCGAAAAACTGTATATATGGAACACACTATAGAGAGTCAGATCGATAATATATGCATCGTTAGAATATTTAGAAGGTCAATGGAACACGTGAGAACAAAGAGAGGAGCTGACATAGCTTCAGATCCCCATCTGGTTTAGGCCAATATGAAACTGAAGCTAAAGAAACACTAGACAGTTGTGGAAATAGCATTACAAAGGTCCAATACAGTCTTCCTACGAGATACTAACAGACTTAACCGACTCAAAATAACTCTCAAAACATGTTTCGAGCCTTACGGGATCTACTGAAGGAAGAAACTACTATAGAGGACAATTGGAAATGCATCAAAGAAGTACTACCTTCAACGTGTCAAGAGGTTTGGTTCTGGGCCTCTAGGAGCGTAATCATAAGGAATGGATCTCTATGGAAACTTCGGATAGGATCCAAGAAGTCGGCAATTAGCAGCAGTCGAACTTTGAAGAACTCTTAAACATACCAGCTACTCTGAACCTAACGGACATCGAAACAACATACACCGACCTTCCTATGGCTATCACTCCACCAGCGTGACACCCAAACAAGTCAGGAGTGGGAAAGCGGAAGGACCTGAAAATATACTAGCTGAAACAGTGAAGTGAGACATCCAATTGACTGCAAACATGCACCACGTTCTGTTCGGTAAGCTCTGGGAGGAGAAACAAGTGTTGTATTCCAAGTGAGTACTAGTGTTAGACGAGGTTTCTTATCTTCTCCGTTTCTCTTTCTCCGGACGGTTGACCGAATTATGAAGACCTCCACACCTCGGTTGAGAAACTGAATATGTGTGGTAATCAGGAGTATTTATTTATAATGCGAAACAATAATCCTAGAACTAATGCAATGGCATCAGGAATTAGTAGATAAGCACAAACGATTGCACTGTATTTGGGATTCGATTTCGTCATTCAACAAGTACAAATGATTCATTTGTTCACTGACGCACCACATCCCCCACAGCTTATATTATTTCCTAGGTGTTTGTAATTGATTGTACGTCTTCTTAAGTCCATCCTGTGTCTGTCCGACAATGTATTGGATAAAGATTCTGTATTATCTAGAATTAGCTCTTTTGTACTGGAATCAACAACCGTAATCGGAACAGACTCACCTGAGTCCTAGAATTGAGTACAACTACTGATATCTAGAATTTGAACCTTAGACTTTCCAACACTATCGTCCCCTGCGAAATAATGATGGATCTTTTTATCCCCAAGTTATGAATGATGTGACTTCATTTAAAATGTATTTCTCACATTGACTAGAGTAAATATTAGAAGTGACTTTGTGGCAAGTATAAACAGCAGTTGATATGAAATCATCCGAATTGTAATCAAACTCGAGCTCATTTAGTACTTGTGCTTCGCACTGAACAAGTTTCCGACAAGAAACAAATGTATTACGGGGACAAATAATATATTATATGACATCAGGATTTGATGCTTCTGAAATTGTTTCCTCAAATTTATTAAGAATGTAATTGCAGAGTAAAGGGTCATTAGAAAAATTATTTTCTATCAAAAGTATATCAGTTTCTCGATCATGATTAGGTTCATTCAACATATTTTCCTCAGATTTATAAGGAATTTCATCAGAAATAAGTGAATGATCATTAAAAAGCATATATGGCACAATAAGATGAGAAATCTGATAAGTTGATTGATTAGAACCTGCCACCTCGCAAGGATTCTCAATTTCATCTAATTCTCGTCTGCATAATGAAGCGAAATAGGCTTTTCTGATAAAGCCAGATTTTTTATTGAGCCGTGAGCTTCTTTTTGGATGTATGTGGGGAAATATGCTACAATATTAACATCGTCATCATCTTCCTTGGTCATAGCCTATATTTCCAACCCTTCAAAGTAATCCTAAAAAGCATCAAAATTTGGATTTATGTACAACCGTTCCATCACAGGCTCTGTCCCAATGTCGATGGGATATTTAGGGGTGTTTAAATTATAGTACGAACTAAGAACCTAGAAATAACGTAATGGGATCAAGAAGTACTAGGTAAAAACGAATATATACAGAATTTGAAACCAAGCATTCAACAAATACAGTAGCATATTTGGTTCATTCAAACTCCACAATAGGGTGAGAAGCTTAAACACATCTGGATGATTTAAACTATGCAGATGACCTGTTCCTTCTATCCCATAGACATCATCAAGTGCAGGTGAACAAAAACAGTGTAACAGCAGCCTCTTCATCAGTAAGCCTCAACATGCACAAGGTGAAAACCAAGATACTCAAACACAACACGGAGAACAACAACCCAG